GGCCGGGCCGCGGGAAGGGCACACCAGTGCCCGGGGCACGGACCCCTGCGTGGGGATGGGCGGCGGTGGGGATCCATCGCCTGGAAGCCACGGGAATGGTTCTGTTTCGCTTTCAGCGAATACGCTGGTGATAGTCCTGAGGCAAAACCGTGGGGCGGCAGATGTGTGAAGTTGCCTCGTCTGTTACAGAAGGAACTGCGAGGGCCAGGAAACATGTTTCCTTGTGTTTATCTCTTACCGCACTAAAGCATCAGTTAAACATACAGATATGGTCTGTAGGTGGTTAGCAAAGATTTACGGAAGGTGCTGAGCTCTCACGGTAGAGAACAGACACAAGGGCTTGTGCACGTGAATTCTGTAGTAGCTGAGCAGTGAAACCCAGTGGCTTCTGCTTTGGTCAGCAGCGCAGCAGCACTGTGGTGTCTCACTACCCGCCCTCCTTCCCAAATACAGAATACTGAGCAATTGTTCTGGTCTTCAGCCTTTAGTTCACGGCTGGCGAATCAAGGATCCCTGGCCAGTAGGAAGAGAGAGGTGTTGGAGGAAAAGTCCAAAGACTTTTTCAGTCAAGAGAAAAGTCAGGGAAAACAGATTGTTAGGTAGGGAAAAAAAGTTTGTCATCTCTGGTGGAAAAAGCTGGAATTTTTGTTCATTTGTTGTTAAATCTCAGGGAATCCACAGAGGTGATACATCATGAATCTGCAAGAAAAGCTTCAAGCAGAGTGTGAACTGTTATGAGGCACATATCTTTAAGAAAACTACCTTGATTCAATACACACAGAACTGTCTTTTCTGTAATATACTTTCTTCTCATCAAGGTGACTTTCAATTGTCCAAAGGAGTGAAACCAGCTCATCGATCCTCTCCTGTCTAGGGCGAGATTCTCTTCCTATGAGTATGACTTCCAGATAGTGTTTGCACTTCTAGCCCCCACCTCCTCCACATTTTACACGTACTTAACATTTATATTCCCAAACTCTTTGGCACAGTTTACTCACTGACTAAGGTTTTGAAAGTCTGTCCTTTCAAAGTAGGGAGCTCCTGTTGCAAACATCCTTTGATTTATCCCCCTGACTGATTCACTCAAAGCGAGTTCTCTTGTGATCAGTTTACTCAAGGTTACTTCCTGCCAGCTGATCTCTCCCAATATTCTTGCTGTTTGTTGCAGTTCCTTGATACTGTGAAGAAATTTGTTACTTCTCTTTTGAAGAAATATATGTACTCAACCATTTCAGTAGCAATTTTTTCAGACCTACAGCAAGGAGACCAAAGAGAAACTTCCAAATAAACTGACAGATGCTTTTGTCATGGTTGGGGCAGCAGTTGACTCTCACCAGCCAACATACATTTGCTTTACCCAATGTTACCTTGTCCTAAAGCAACCCTGTTAAGTCCACATTATGCCCTCTCATTCTTTTACAGTCCGTAGCATTACTGTATGTCATCATGCTGCTTTAGTTCTTTTTTAAAATAGGCCCTGCTCTTCCTGCTTTTAATTGCTATTCTACCACATTTCAGTTATCCCTCAATTAACCAGTGCCACATCTTGGATCAAGTTTCTTCACTTTGGTGACAATGTGCAGCAATCTTGGGCCTTCTGGTGGCCCCCAGAAAGCAGCAGAAATTATGTTCTCCCATTCTTCACATAACTTCAGACCTTCTTTTTGCAGCTTTTCTGCTTGTTTTCTCTGTCTTCTGAAGCTATGGAAACTGGCTACAGCAAGACAGGATGTTGGGGGGGAGGCTGGATTCCCTAGAGTTACTGAGAAGCATTGCAGGCATCTGTTTGATATCTAAGTAGGCTCAAACTAACTGCCAGAGTTGGGTCAGGAAGGAACTTATCTTCTGGTTTGGACTGGCAGAGTTCTGCATTCGTAGGAACATCAAAGCATTCTCACTTATAAAACTCTTTCCTGTTAGACAGATAATGATCTTTCCTCCTTTGACATACTGTAAGTTGGAGCCAAGGTTGGGATGCCATGGTGTGCTTGGAGTAAATATCTCCCTGTGAACCGAGTGACTGGTACACAGGTTCCCTGGGACTGTAAGGGAAGCACTTGGCAACTCAGGTGGTCCTTTCCTGTCCTGTCCTCCTCTTCTGACCAGGCTCTTTGAGATAATACACAAGTTTTTCTGTCTTGCCAATTATACTCAATTTATGAAAGTTTCCTGGTGAGTTCACTCACTGCCAATACTTTCTCCCTGCTGCTCATCCTCCAACCCTCACAACACTTCTTTAGGAATTGCCTTATGCCCATTCCAGGTTCCTCCTCCTGTTACTAAAACAAGCAGATGAAAAGGAACATTAATTTAAGGACTAAAAGACTTTGGTAAATGGGCACATTTGCTTTGATTCCTACCCACAGTTCACGCTACATACGCATACTTTCATTAAGTCCCTCCAACAGGCATTCTGCTGGCAGGCAGATATTCCCCAAATTCACTGTGTTGCTGTGCCTTTGATCTCTTCTCCAGTGCCAGAAGGACTACTATCAAATACTACCATGAGTGTCCATTTCTTTCTTCTCCAGTCTCCTTCAATTTAGGTTAATTCAATTGAAGTTACCTGCACAGGAACAATTCTAGTTAACTCTGTAGGGTAATAAATCATTCAAAACTAGAATTATTCTGAAAACCAAGTTACACAGATCTAATCCTACAACTGTTTCTCAGCCCTCATTTGACTAAACGTGGTCTTCAAGTGTTCATGACGACACACACAGAGACATTTAGCTTGAAGAAATTTGTCTGGGATTGAGAGAAGAAAACTAAGGATGTTGGTTTTGAAATGTACAATTATACACCCAGTGTAAAATCTCAGGGCTGTTGTCTGACCTCTTCCTGGCTGGAGGTGGAGAAGATAAACTTCAGTTGTGATAGCTTGGAAGGGGCTATGTTTTGAAAGTGTCAGTATGCTGTTACTTCAGGGGTGAGTTTAGTAGGTGAGCCTGCAGCAAGCAAAGAGACAGTACGAGGGATAAGACTGATGTGTTCCCAAAGTTTCCTGCAGTATCTGTAGAGGCAGGGTGCTAGCATTAAAGTTATGCCCATGTCAGGGCATTTCCCAAGGACAGAAAATGATTAGCCAGGGAGAGGTATTATCTTCGCTGTGTGCTGCCCAGCATGCAGGAATCCGAGTTCAGCTATTCTCTGCAGCCTGGACCAGCATAAGGCACCACAAGATAAAAGCTCTATTAAAGTTTTGGAATTTTCTTAATTATACCCAGCACATAAATTTTCAGTCTTGCCCTTTACTATACCCCAACTCCAGCATTTTGGCCAGGAAGTGTGCTATGACACATTGGCCCCTGGTGACCCTCATACTGTCTCTCACCTCTCAGTCTTAAGGCAATTCTCCTCACCACAGAGCAGTGATCAGAAGAGCAAGTTATATTGTTAAAAATTAAAGAGTAATGGAGAAGATGTAAGAATGAAGAGTTACAGCTTTGAAATATTATTTCCACTGAATTTCTCCATGTGGCTTAACCATCTCTTTTCCCTCCCTCCTCTCACCACTTCCTTCCCTGCAGCAAATCCTTCAGGTCTCTGAGACTCCCTTGATCCACAGCCATTGCTCTGATTCCCCCTATCTACTCTGCTCCCAGCCCACGTTAATACCTTTCACAGTTGGACACCTTCCTGTCAAAGTCTGATACCTTCTTCGTCTTCCTGGACACCTAAGGAAAGGGATGAGGCTTTGAGGTGCACAGGTGCCAGGCAAACAAGAGAGAGGTCTGTCCTGACCCAACCTTGCCCCTCCCACCATCACTCTGCATACAAGCAAAAGAACCAAGCTGCCAGCTAACCCAGTACAGACACAGGAGCCTGAGCAGGACACTTAACCCAACTTCATTCATTTTACAGTTGAATAAAAGCCCATCAATTCTGAATTAAAATCTTCCAGGCCACTGATCCAGAGAAGGACGCCAACCAGCGCAGATTTGACGGCTTTTGTCCAGAATGCAGATTCTGATTTGCTCGTGAGACAGGAGTGAAGGAGTTTCCCAGAGGAAAACTTATCCTGCTGCAGGTACAGCAGTAAGAAACTTCTAAAATTTCTGTGGTTTCATTCTCAGCCAGACTTGCATCACCAACATTTAATTCAGAATGCTGACATCACTTTTTCCGATGATCCCAGTGAAGAGGGACGTAGGCACGTTCTGGGCACTGCCGTCTGCTCTTTCCCATATGCTTCTCCCAGCTACCGGTAATCAGGCCGAGTCAGAACAAGGGTTCATAAAAACAGACTCTTCAAACAGCTTTTTCTTAGAAGATCAAGGTTATGAACTCAGTCCAATGTTACCTGCAGTGCTATGAGCAGAGTCCCAGCAAAAAGGAAAGCAGGAGGGTTGGAAACATGAGGACAGTTATCCTGGCTCAGTCCTGGCTTGGCTGGACAGGTTAGAACCGAGGAGCTCCGTAATCATCTGGCATCCTCTCAATATTGTATCTGAGGAAGAATGAGGGAAAACCTATGAAGACAACCTACTCCCCATTGCTCCCCCCCCCACACAGCAACAAGCTTACAGGCAGACTGAACAGCAGGAAGCTTTCCTGCATTTCTGTCTGCAGCTCAGATCCCCAGGAAGAAAAAATACTACTTCCAAAAGTGAAAGCCCTTCCTAGGATTGCTGCTACCCTTCACCTCAAACTCGGAAACTGAGCATCTCAAAACTCACCATCTCCAGAGAAGGAAAGCAATGGTGGGTTTGTAAGATCTGACTTAGGATTTAAAAGCAGACAATGATGGAGAATAAAACTTTGGCCATTCAACTTAGGGACAAGGATGTTTTGAGAGAAAAATCTGAGCCATGTTCTACAGGCTAAAACAGAAATTAAAGAACAATATGTAAAGTCTTAACATATTTATAGCAATCAACCTTCTCACTTCTGAAATACTGCTCTGTCTGCATATTCCCAGACTCATTGCCTGCACTGCTAGCACAACTGCATCCTTTCCAGTATCTCTCCCATCCCATCTGAAGACTTTGTCCCTTTTCTCTACATGTCCTGACTTCTCTTCTTACCATGTATCAAACATACACCACACTGTGAAACAGTCTGGCATAGGTTCTATGCCAGATGAATCTTCTGGGCTGTACATTAGGTAGAAGAAATATTGAAACACTGGATATGGTGAGTAAAGTCTTCTTAGTCTAGGCTTTATAGTGCTTTGCAACAGGAAATTAATTTAAGCAAATGTTTTTACAGTAGATCACTGGTCCTATTGCACATAAAAAAAATAAAGTGAGAAGGTACTTGCAAATATTGGAAAAATCTGTTGCTTTGAATTTGCTGCACTAGCATCCTTCTGAGTTGGTTTGGATTTTATCTGAGAAGCAAATTCAATCTCTCAACTGAGGGTACACAAAGCTACCAAATAGAATACGGAACAATAATGGGTTTTTTCCCCAAGAACCTGTAGAATGCATTTGCCTGGTAGTCCTCGCTGCTGGTAAACAAAACTGATCTATGGAAACACTGGCCTCAAGGAAACCAGTTTTCCAGGTAAAAGCAAGTGAACATGCAGACTGCAAAAAAAGCGGGTCTGCGAACCGTCTCTTGCCAGCAGTAACTGTACTTCTACTGCTGTGCAAACACCAGGCCCTCTACTGCAACCTGCCCTATAGACAATGCAGGAGAGAAGCACACGGTGACAGAGTCCCTGTCAGACAAGGGTTCTCCCAGGCAGCGTTCCTCCCTGTCAGAGGTCCCTTACCTGTGCCTGGAAATATACATTATGGGCACTCCGGGGATTTTTCGTATTCTCCGCTTGAGCTCTTTATCCACTGTGGCCACGATGTAACATTTGTGCTGCAAAAAAAGGAGGCAACTCAGATTCAACACCAGTGAACCCACAGAATGGAGACAAAGCTGAGCAAAAGCTTCTATTCAGTGAGCTCATTTAACACAAGAAGCCTACAAGTACTTAGCAAGGCATTACTAGGACTTGTAGAGAACTTCACAGCAGACTAATAACATCCTTCTGCTCATCAAAATACTCAAGTCTGTCCAGCTGAACAATCTTCCCATCCTAAGTGCTCCTTGATGCTGTCCTATACAACCAGAATGCTCAGGGAAGACTATACCTTGCTTCAAATAAAGTTGTGCTAAGGACTGAAACTGCCCCTTAGGGAGATTTTACAGTTACTCTGTCAGAAATTTAAAGTCATCAGAAACTAGAAGGGTTCAGGAATTTTTAGTCTGTTAGCACAGCACAGAAATTTCAGAAATGGAAATACCTGAGTGACCCTCTGTACCAAGCAGTCATCTGCGTAGGTTCCTTTGTGCATACATGGCAAGCGTTCAAACCGAGGGTCCTTGGCAATTCTGTGGGGGGACACAAGGCAGCATCACAGCCAGCAGACCAGAATGTGACACAGTGTGGAGAACAGGAATATGCAGCACAATATTCTCAAAACCAGTGCTGAAGGGATGGAGCGAATGGTACACAACAGTCGATTGAAATGAGGGGCAAAAAAAGAATGCAATTTGTCTGGCTAATTATAGTAAGTTAAGTATTTCTTAGTACTTGTTAGTTGTGTTCAAGATCCCCACAGTGTTAGGCTCTTGCCTAACAAAGTCATTTGAAACAAGTTATCTGTGGGAAGAACTAGAACTTCTAGTATCCAGTCATTCATACCATGCATATATAGAAACACCTCACCTCACCTCCTCTCTGAAGTGGAACATCAAAGCTGTTTAGGGGATGCACTCACTTATTTTACAACACAACAGGCTAAAACAGAAATTAAAGAACAATCCATCTGACCAGCACACCTGCAGAGCACAAACTACATTGGACTAGTTTTCTACAGATCCCACAATAACCTGGCTCTACGTTATCAGTATGTGCTACCTACTCCTGCAGGAAGTAACATGAGGTTCCATAATGCTTGGGTCATTTCTTTATTTTTAGAAATTTCTGTAATTAAAAAAAAATATACATATATATATTTTGAGAAGCAGGAGGAAGAGTTATTTTGAAAGTCTTAGGGGAAAGAAAGATTTACAGATCAATATTGTGCACTCATACCTAGCACTTAGAGAACTAATCTAAAACTCGAGCCATCATACTGATCTCATACAGCCAGAGAAACAAAACCAAGTCTGGGACTCTGCGACAACCCAACCACCCTCTAGTGAAGAGCACTGCCACAGAAAGGGGTTTTCTTTATTTACATTCAAACATTAAGTTCTAGAAATGGAGAACACCCTGCACCTACCTTAAGGCCACACGGTACTTCTGTCCTAACTTCTCAATTTCACCCATCACACAATCTGTGATGCACGGAACACCTACACGCGAAACAGCCTGCATTAAAACCAAGCAGTATTTCTCACAGGCCCCCACAGTTCTGCCCACGTGCCCTGAGCAGTTACCTATCGTGGCACTCTGTGCTTACAGTTCCCAACTTAGGAGAACTGATAAGGTTGCAAAGCGACGGAACGCAGCGCCGCCGAGTTGCCCAGGCCATGGGAATTTTAGATTTTTGAGTTATTAATGCTTTACCTGTGTTGACATCAGCATTTAAGACCATAGTTTGACTGAAACCAAAGACAGTCCCAGGGTCACCACAACCATGACCAATGAGCTCTGTGATTACAGCACATAGCCTTTTTTCACGATTTCTGTTATCCTCAGCTAGTGATACGAGGCTGATAAAGTCCATCATGAGCACTCTATAGCACCACATGGTCCAGAAGAAGCTGCAAGTGATGCAGACACTCACACTTGGCATAGAGACAGTCCATCATTGACTGCACTAGGTCCAGCTTGGCCTTGATGGAGAAGTTGATGAAGTTAGTGTCAACCAGTATGTGATAAGGGGGGCCCAACTGGGTATTATACTGGAAGAACAAACAAGAAGGATGCTGGGGGCTGCCGGGAAAACAAAGAATTCAAATCAGTTAATTGTAATTAACAACATATCCGATCTTACAACTCGCATGGAATGAAAGAAGGGGAACAAGCAGAAACAACCCAAGCCAGCGTGGGAGGGTGACCTGTTGGGCCTCCCAAGCCCAGTCCCTTGGTTTGGGGCACCACTTCCCACTCTGACAGTTTTGCTCAGAAAAGCCCGTGGTTGCAGCCTGCAC